AATGAAAATCAATGAGATCAATTTAATGTTTGTTTCAACACTTTCATTTTTGGGTCCTCCATGCTGCAATAGATGCATTTTCAATATTGCTGGAGGATGCTTATTTTAATTTAATTGTAATTGGATTTGTTTGTTTTTTGAGGTGGAAATGCTTCCCTCGATCCTAGGTTTTATATAAGCTGTTCTTGCAAAATGTAAATCTTGAACCAAACTTAAGCAGGTTTCAGAGTAGCAGCCGTCTTAATCTGTATCCGCAAAAAGAAAAGGAGTACTTGTGGCACCTTAGAGACTAACAAATTTATTTGAGCATAGTCTCTAAGGTGCCACAAGTACTCCTTTTGTTTCTGCAAACTTAAGCAGTTTCTCTTTCATGGGCTGCCTATGAAGAGGACGAGTTTAAACTTTAAAGAGAGACACATTGTCAAGGTTCCTCCCCCACTCTGAACTTTAGGGTACAGATGTGGGGACCTGCATGAAAACCTCCTAAGCTTACTTTTACCAGCTTAGGTTAAAACTTCCCCAAGGTACAGATTAATTTTATCCTTTGTCCTTGGAATATCCACTGCCACCACCAAACTCTAACTGGGTTTACTGGGAAACATAGTTTGGACACGTCTTTCCCCCCCAAATCCTCCCAACCCTTGCACCCCACTTCCTGGGAAAGGTTTGGTAAAAATCCTCACCAAGTTGCATAGGTGACCACAGACCCAAACCCTTGGATCTGAGAACAATGAAAAAGCATTCAGTTTTCTTACAAGAAGACTTTTTTAATAGAAATGGAAGTAAATAGAAGTAAAGGAATCACCCCTGTAAAATCAGGATGGTAGATACCTTACAGGGTAATTAGATTCAAACATAGAGAATCCCTCTAGGCAAAACCTTAAGTTACAAAAAAGACACACAGACAGAAATAGTCATTCTATTCAGCATAGTTCTTTTCTCAGCCATTTAAAGAAATCATAATCTAACACATACCTAGCTAGATTACTTACTAAGAGTTCTAAGACTCCATTCCTGATCTATCCCCGGCAAAAGCAGCATATAGACAGACACAGACCCTTTGTTTCTCTCCCTCCTCCCAGCTTTTGAAAGTGTCTTGTCTCCTTATTGGTCATTTTGGTCAGGAGCCAGCAAGGTTACCTTTAGCTTCTTAACTCTTTACAGGTGAGAGGATTTTTCCTCTGGCAGGAGGGATTTTAAAGGAGTTTACCCTTCCCTTTATATTTATGACACACACTTTTAGGGGTTAGCTCTCATGAAAGAGAGAAGTGGGTATAGCTATTTATATTTCTCTAACACAATTGTTTTTGTTTTACTTTTTATGTATTTATTTTTAACTTCAGTGGCTATCTGTAGGGTTTTTGTTTGTTTGTTTGTTGTTGTTTTTGAATAGTCTCCTGTGGTGGCTATCCCCAAACACTTTAGCACTGTACTAGTGCATGAGAATTGAAAAAGGAAACTAATTTATAAGCAAAACTATCTAAGCTATCCTGTTTGTTTTCTGTATTTTATTCAGTTTAGATGAAACACACAAACAAAGAGTGCGCATGGTGAAGCGTAATTTACATTCTCTAAAAGTATTCTTGCAATTTAAAAAATTTCAGATACTGTTAAGAGTAAGGAATTAATTTTCAATTATTTTTATCTTGGATTTAGACTACTGTAGTACTTCATGGGCAGTTTGATCTTTTTTAGAGTGGCTGAATCCATAGTCTGCCTCTCCAGTGCTTCACAACAGTGCCCAAATAATTTCATATTATTTCACATCTTCCATTTTATTGACGGTGGCATGTAAAACTTGGTTATAAAACCTACTATGAGAACAGGAAGACAAATATCTTCTTTGAAATTGTTAGGAGTAAATCATTCTGTTTCATGAGAAGGTGCTCAGGGCCTGCTTTTAGAGCAGAAAGAGGCAAGAAATATTCCAGCACCAAAACCTCATGCTAGGTCCCCGTTCTTAATTTGTCACAAGCTTTTTGTGGAAGACTGAATTCTCTGTCTTAACAGGACCCAAACCATCTTTTTCTTTTCTCTGTGGTGGTGGTGGGGAGATGTCTCATGCAACACTGCATTTAAGTTAACAAATTTTAAAACCTTTTTGGCCTCAAAAAATGACAGAGATTTATGTGCCTTAGCTCATTTCTGCTACTGTAGTATGTATTTTTAAATCACCACAAACAGCTTGATGCTATTAGCTATCTGTAGTATAGAAAAGTCGCGCTGTTTGTCAGTTCTCCTGCTGACAAAAAACTTCCTCCCACAATGAGTGGCGTTTGCATTGTTGACAGGAGAGCGCTCCTGCCAACAATGCGCTGTTCGCACTGGTGCTTGTCACGGCAAAGCTTTTGCCCTTTCTTTTGTGTTGTTTTTGGTTTTGGGGGGCGGGGGACTTTGAGGCTGGTTAAACACCTCCGAAAGACAAAAGTTTTGTCGTTCAATTGCCAGTGTAGACATAGCCTTATACTGGTGTAAAGAATGTGGTTTGGTTTGGTTTTTGTTTGGGTGGTTTTATTTTGTTTTGTTTTAGGTTTATTGCCTGGAAAGGAATAAAGCTAAACCAAAAAAGCCACTATTATGCCAAGGTAAGTGTGTCTACTCTGGGGCTATACTACTATAATTTTATTGGTACCACTGGTAAATTTTGCCTTGAGGACAAGCCCTAAGGCCTCAATCCTGCAAACACTTGCATGTGTCCAGTGTCTTTAAGTGGGATTATTCATGTTCATAAAAATAAGCGTATGCATGAGCATTTGCAGAATTGTGGCTTAAAAGCTCTTTAAAATCCCTAGCAAGATTCCTGCTAAGCCTGTTCTACAAAACTTTAAGGTATGTGCGTCAAAGAGGGTAGTTACTGTGTGAGGGGGCTGCAATTAGGATTTTGTTTTTGTTCTTTAACTTTTAAAAACTATGCAACAGATCATAAATCTGCATTTTTGACTGCCATTGTCTTCACTGGGTCCACACCTATACCCTTTGGCCATGTCTACACTAAGCTTTTTTTTTTTTAACCTTGAAATAATTTAGTGTCAATTAATTCATGGTAGTTAACATCTTTGTAAAGGCTAGCGTGGACATGCACTTGAAAAATGAAAACGTAAGGCAGAGTAAAATTCAGTTTAGTGTCAAAACATAGAACACTAGAGGCAGCATGCTTATTGCATTATTCATGTTCTTATTTAATTCAGTAATCACTCTCTTTAATTTAAACGGCCCTGTCATGGAATTCCAGGTTCTAAATTGCAGTGCCACAGAATCCTTGCTTTAGTAAATTTGATCTCTTGTATTTGCTGTCGATAGTTTAGTTTTATGTCTCAAGTACCAAGATTTTGAAAATAAACATACAGTGCTCCAATAATGGAAGAGGCGTGCCACTAGGATAATCTGATGTTTAGTTTTAGTTTTTATTTAGCTCTATAAAGAGTTGGTTCTGCGTCTGCTCCTGTCATAAATATAAAGGGAAGGGTAACCACCTTTCTATATACTATATGCTATAGTGCTGTAAAATCCCTTCAGGCCAGAGGCAAAACCCTTTCATCTGAGGGTTTTTCTTAAAGGGTTAAGAAACTAAGGTAACCTTGCTGGCATCTGACCAAAATGACTAATGAGGGGACAAGATACTTGCAAATCTGGAGGGGGCAGGAACAAACGGTTCTGTCTGTCTGGGTGATGCTTTTGCTGGGAACAGATCAGAAATGCAAGGCTTCCAACTCCTGTTAAGTTAGTAAATAATCTAACTAGAAACTACATTAGATTTTCTTTTGTTTACTGGCTGGTAAAATAAGCTGTGCTGGAGGGAATGTATATTCCTGTTTTTGTGTCCTTTTGTAACTTAAGGTTTTGCCTAGAGGAATTCTCTATGTTTTGAATCTGATTACCCTGTAAGGTATTTACCATCCCGATTTTACAGAGGTGATTCTTTTACCTTTTCTTTAACTAAAATTCTTCTTTTAAGAACCTGATTGATTTTCATTGTTCTTAAGATCCAAGGGTTTGGGTCTGTGTTCACGTGTACCAATTGGTGAGGATTATTATCAAGCCTTCCCCAGGAAAGGGGGTGTAGGGCTTGGGGGGATATTTTGGAGGAAGACTTCTCGAAGTGGTCTCTTTCCCTGTTCTTTGTTTAAAACGCTTGGTGGTGGCAGCATACTGTTCAAGGACAAGGCAAAGTTTGTATCTTGGGGAAGTTTTTAACCTAAACTGGTAAGAATAAGCTTAGGGGGGTTTTCATAAAGGTCCCCACATCTGTACCCTAGAGTTCAGAGTGGGGAAGGAACCTTGACAGCTCCACATTTAGCGCTCACTGAACGACACCAAAATTGGGCTTTAACAGACATGGATCCCCTTAGGTGCCCCCCTCCTCTCCTAAAATCCCAGCCTGAACCTTTCCCTATCAATCCTTGTAACCAGTTCTTTCCCTGCTACATTTTTTGTGCATGTGTTTGTACTCTGCAAACATGTTGACAGGTTTCACTGAGGCAGGAACTGCAAAGGCAGAATTTCTGATCATTGGGGTCAGTGATTCAGTAAAGGGTTAGGGTCTAGAAGGCATCTAGGTGCAGAGGCATCTTGATTTTTTTCAATTAGATCTATGCTGTTCTACACACAGCAGTAATGACTGCAAGCTTCTTATTAAACCTTAATTATTTGTTTACAAGAATCATGGCAATGTTTTTTTATTTTAACTATTGACAGGTTTTTGGATGCACAGCTTTTAATAATGCATGAGTAAAAAAGTGGGAGGGGCGGGGGGAATTTACTGAGCCCTGTTGCTACCACAAGGGGACTCAAGTGCCAGTGTCTTCGCTCCTCTAATCCAATGACCTGTGTCAAGCGATGCAGGGAAGTTTAAGAGAAACTGGTATTCTGTGGTGTGTTTTATGCAAAGATACTTTAAATGTGAAACTTTAAAAAAATTTTTTTTTTTCATTTTAATACATTCTTTAATTTTTCTGTTTTGTTTTTGTTTTTTCCCTTCTCCCCAACTCTCTTTCCTACAGGCAGGATGAAAGACCGGTTATATGAACTGTATGAGTTAGCTAAGCTTTATAACCAACAGTTTCCTAACAATGAGGATGATGAGATTTTACCTCATGAAATCCTCCTGTTCGAGACTGATGATGCCCTCGCAGCTCTTTACAAAGATGTCCAGAGTATCAGAACAGACAACCTCCACCTGAAAGAGGACGTCAAACGGCTAGGTAAACAAAATAACCGCTTTCTTACCTCCATGCGCCGTCTTAGTAGTATCAAACGAGATACTAACAGCATCGCCAAAGACATCAAGGCCCGTGGAGAAGGCATCCACAGGAAACTCCAGACAATGAGAGACTTCAGTGAAGATGCTGAAACAAAACATGGCACGATGTCTGTCATAACCCGTGTATCGAAGAATCACTATGTTGACCTCATGCATGCCTTTCAGGAAGCCATGTTTGAGTACAATGAGGCAGAGATGAACCAGCGGGAGAACTGCAAGATTCGGATCCAGAGACAGCTGGAGATCATGGGCAAGGATGTTTCCGGAAACCAGATTGAGGACATGATTGAGCAAGGCAAGTGGGACGTTTTCTCCGAGAATCTCCTGTCTGATGTCAGAGGGGCTCGTGCAGCATTGAATGAGATAGAGACGCGACACAAAGAGTTGATGAAGTTGGAGACTCGCATCAGGGAAGTTCATGAGCTCTTTCTGCAGGTGGCACTACTGGTGGAGCAACAGGCTGACACCTTCGACATCATTCAACTGAACGTGGAAAAAGTTGAGGACTATGTAGGAGAGGCTAAATGTCAGGTGAGGAAAGCTTTGGAATACAGGCGGAAACACCCTTGTCGAACACTCCTCTGCTGTTGCTTTTCGTGCTGCAAAAGCTGATTCTCCTACTCAAGCCTTACAGACCAACTTGAATGTGCCCTAAGAATGTACAATTGAAATAGTACTTTTAAAATGGGCTACTTTTTGGAACAGGATTGCTTTTGGTTTGGAGGGGGTGGTGGTTACCCCTTGTCTTAGATTTTGTGCTAATAAAAGCCAAATGTTGCTGGCAAATTTTATTATCTTTAAAAAATAAATAAATAAAATTCAAACCTAACCTATTTGGTTGTAATCTAGGCTAGAGTGCTTAAGAGAGCCTCATAAAATGATACATGCTCCAACCTGACACCACCTAATTTAAAAGAATGAATGAAAGGCTAATAGGTTAATCGATGAAGGATGAGTGTTGGTGTACCACGAGATGGCTATTTTCTATCTTCCACAGTGAGACTGCATAGGGTACAGCTCTATTGCTGTAGTGATGTAATTCTGTGGTGCTTTGTAAGTTTGCCTGCCTTTAGGAAACTTGGAGCCCATGTGATGCAATCCTTAAGCAATTCATTGCCACATTCATTTGAAGAAACAGTAAGTGTGTTAAACTATTTACAGAAAATATAGAATTATTTTCTTAAACCTTTTTACACAAGGAGCCTGATTCTGATCTCACACTAGTTTTACACCAGTGGAACTCCATTGAAATGAACGAAGTGAATTTTGATCTATTCCAGTGTAGATAAGATCAAACTCAGTCCCAAGAAGTATTCATTCCTCTCCCCCCATCCCTTTCATCATTGTGAACACACCAGAATTTTGACCAGGTCACAGGAAACACTGAAAAATTAAGACCTCTCTTCAATTGACTCTTTACTTTAGTCATTTAAATACTCTGTTTTAATGTTGTTCTTTAAGGTTGTAATGTCATCTGCTGGAGGACTGAAAATGGTCATGGCAAACTTTTCAAAGATTTTTAGCCCTATAAATAAAATTAATGCAGCCATCTCTTCTCAAATGTGACTTAACACCCATAAATGGACATTTGTCTGGAAGGCAAATGCAACATTTTAGTGATTCACATACACACACAAATTTGAAGTTATAGTGACAGATTTACCTTGTAAATAGATGCTTATTTTTGTAAGACAATGTATTGATATATTGTGTTTTGTATTTGTTAACATGAAGGTATTAATAACAATGTTTACTCTGGTTTGTATATGAAGACAGATAGGACTGTCTTCTGCCTCTGGGACAACTGCATATTGAAGAGAGAATAGACGCCTTTATTCAATACTCCTGTATGAGCCAACATTTTGGAGTCAAAATGACACTTCCTTTTATTGGGTTTGAAAAGTTTTCCCTCCTCCCTGTAAAACCGTTTCTGATTGACCATATTAGGTTTGGACAAAAAGGGAGGAAGAGAGAAATTTAAGGCCAAATTTTGCAGTCCTTAATTGATTACATTGGTTTCACTTGATTGAAAGCTGAAGAATTTGGCCCTTACTTTTGAAGTCCTTTGTGCTCCATGTTAGTCCTAATGAGAACAGAGGGCAATGCCAAAAGTATGCACAATATTCCAACTACAGTATGTGTTTCTAAGCAGCTTTCTGCTACATTGTGATTTATTGGTACTTTGAACTCATACAAGACTTCTTATTTTTTTTCCCCTCCCCTTTCCAGAAGTTAGTGACTTCAGAGATCTTCTGTTTGGATAACTTTTTCCCCTTTTTTATGTCCTTTTAATAATATTATATTTTAACATTTCACATTTGTATTTTGGTGATTTCCTGCCCAGATGCTCCCAGCTATCCTTCTGCACCCTTCACAATGAAAGGTTTCTCTTTCTGTCTTTTGCACACTAAATGTATATTGTAACAAATTATTTTAAATTACTTATAAAACAGTAAGGCCTTGCAAAAACAAATTGATACACACTTCTAAGCTTTCTTTGCCTAGCAAGAAAATGTTGCTTGCTGGACAGGTTTGCCACATGGAGGATGAGGGAGTTAGATGAAGAACTGTGGACGAGAACTTTTTTTTTTCTCAAGCTGAAAGTCACTGCTTTGAACTAAATATTATATGAAGCACCTGTGCCTGTATTTGCATGTGTTCATTAGCTAGAATTTATGTAGGGGACAAATGAGCCTCAAACAAGAGAATGTTTGTGGTATACAGTGAAGTCTTGAAGCCATCAGTGTTACATTTGCTTGGGAAAATTCAAACAATTCAAATCTGAACTGTAAGGGGGAAGAGACTGGGGCGTCAAATGGACTGGCTGGCACCCATTACTAATATTTAAGAGCCGTTGTCATGTTGAGTAGCATCTTACTCCATAAGTAGTCCCAATCAAGTGAGTGAGACTGTTTCTGAAGAAAGGTACAAAGCGAGGATATCATAATCTGGATTTAAATCAGGCCCCAGAAAAACGTGAATCTGTTTGCTCTGTGTATTGTAGCTTTTTCCTCCCCCTTTATGATAAAGTTATGTAAATGTTCTAATTGTATTTCTTTTTTGTACATGTATATATCTGGAAATGCAATAAAAGTGTTTCAGCATAATGGTAAAGATGCAGAGAGTCACACCTTGAATCGGCAGATCTAAATGGTTCCATGCACATTGATATTCTGTGGAACTTGGAAAAAGTCACATTACCAAACATTACCCTCTTTCATCAACTCACACGTGTGCCTGAAACATTAATGTGAAAAAATGTCCTGCTATTGTTCCCTGCCAATGTAACTCACACTTCAGGTTTTTTCAGAAAATCTTAAACATTCCTCCATTGTAAAAAGGGGTACACATTAAATCCAGCAGCTCGGAGAGATCCTTAAGATCATATTTAAAACATCACATTGCTAGTATCCATTCTAATGCTGCATCCTCACTGTCACACAGGAAAGGAACTGAGATAAGCAAGAAGAAGAAACCTATTTTGAAACAAGAAAAATACAGTTATGTTGTGAAAGTAGTTAAGGCTTGCATGCATCCAAACAGGCTGTGATTGGCAATCCCCAATTAATAGTTTAGTCCAAGATGGAAAAACTATATTTAGTATATAATATATCTTGTAAAATATATTCTTAAGAAATCTAAAGCTTGTGAAGTTAAATAGTGAACTACTTTCAAGAATTAAGAGTTCTGTTTCTTGTAAATGTGTATTGCTTAATGCTCTGCTTTTTGACTTTACCAGTCTGTGAACTTGCCTTGTCACCATTACATAGTGTTTTGGAAAGGATGGGTTTCACTGTAGTTACAAAGAATGAAACACAATGTCAGGTCCCCATAGGATGGGTGGGGGAAGAAGATAAAAGGGGCTTGATAGCGTGTCAGTGCATTTATAAAACAAGCTGGGGAATGGAAGGAATCATGGGGAAAATGAGCTGGAGTAAATCTAGAGCCATGCTTAGGGAGATGCAAACAGTTGGATTGCATGTACCCTCCTTTTGCCAATGACACGGCACTACCTTCCAAGCCACAGGATTCAAGCCAGGAGCAACGGCCTTAAAGAAAGAAGGTGTTTTGGTTTGTTTTGGCTTTGAGGAGTAGGGAGGAGGCAGTTAATGTGAAAGAGGAAGTGAGGGGAATGGCAGGAGCTTCATGAGGAAATTGGTGACAGTGGCAGGATCCTCCTGGTACTGGCAGAGGGGAACTGAAAACCAAGCGAGCCCTAACACAGTGCTGCACTTCCTCTAAAATTATGCGCTTAGCATTGAAGGAAAAATTGTATTACTCATACCATGCACTCGCTAATGGATGAGGAATATTCAATGCTATATGTTAGTGGTTACTCTATTGCACCTTTTGAGGGTTCAATGTTTCTGCTACACTTTATAAAATTTGCTTTGAGTTATTGGGGTAGAACGCTCTTAAATTGTAACTTCAACGTGAAGGGTTCAGGCCACCCCAAGAACTGCAGCAGTCTAGGGGGCATCTCTTTGGCACTTGTTTTGAGAGAATCATCTAGGAAAAAAGGTTGTACAGCGTCTAGTCTTCCCCCCGTCTCCCTCCATCAAAGCAATAAAAATAGAGTAATTGGCCCAAACTTTTTTCCTCTTTTCTGTAAAGCGACTGAGGAGGGGTTGGGCTGAATGGAATATATCTTTTGGCAGCCCTCTATTTACTTTGTGATATTTATGGGATTTTTGGACAGCACACTAGACTGTTACATTAATTTTACATATAGTTACATTTTAGAAATTTGAATAAACTTTCCAGCCTTGTCAGAAAGCCAGGAACAACTGGAAGATAAAGGAGATGGGCACAGTTGCAAGACTTGATGCTTCAGATCTCTCTAAAAATGAAAAGGATATGACTATGACAGGAAATGAACTATCATTTTATAGACCGTTTACATGACTGCCTCTACAGCAGATAAAACACAATGTGATTTTCATGTGAACCTAATACTTTTTTCTTCAGAAATGTAATAAACAACCAGCCACTGTGCCCTAGTCTCAATTACAACCCTGTTTTTGAAATGTGCTGACAAAATGCAGATGTTTAACTTTAGCACTCTAGGTGCACACTGTGCACAAATAGGATGGTTTTGCAACACCCTGGGAAATATACAATAATGAGAGAGTACGGAAGAGACAGTTTTACACATTCCATTTACCAGTTTCATTGTAGGGCCTATGTATATTGGACCTATGTTGTGGAAGAGCAGGGCTATTTCAGTGGTCGATGGAGCATTCAGTGCCACCTCTTTACGAAGTTGGGGGACCTCTGCAAAGACATTCAGATGGGTTCCCCAGTTATAAGCCCCAAATCTCACCATTGTGCTACTGTTTTACCACCAGCAGCAATGGAGACGTCTAGTAAAGATGCCAGAGAGTTGCAACAGTATCAAGAAAACTGAGCAACGCACATTTGGGTCAAGCAGAAAGCACAACATGAAGAACACTCAAACATTGTGTGTTTTAACTGTAGGAAACAGCCTCACCATGCAAATAATTATTGGTTCAAGGAGAGAACCTGCAAGAAATTGGAGCTCACACACAAAAGATGCAGGTCAACACAGAACACTCAATCTTAAAAGGGCCATGCCAGCAAATTTCAGATTCACTAGTTTGTAGGTGCCAACATGGAATCCCCAGAGAATACTGAAGCATCTCTACAATTCTGTAATTTAGAGGACAATAAATGTAGTAGTATTTGGGTTCATTTACAAATAGAAGGAACTTAAAATGGAGCTTGCTGTCTGCTGTTTCTGTAATTTCACAACAGGGTTAGCAGAGGCTACTTAAAAGTGTGAAGTTCCAGAAAACTTCAGTGCTTCTAAAATTATACATAGGTGAAATCCTCACTCCTCTGGATGTTACTGCAGAGAAGGTGATAGGTAATTGTAAACAGCTGTGAAGTGCAGTGCTTGGGTACACATCTGTAGGGAAGCTTTTCAGCATTCAGGTTCTTGTAGATGCTGCTGATCTGAAATGCTTAAAAGATCTTGTCAGGAAATTGCAGAAGAGTGAAAACGTTCTTAAAAATATTTATCTTGTAGCCTCTCAACTTTTATGATCATCAGTCCTTTTCTGTTAGCTAAAGAGGTTACTTTTAAGCATTGGCATTTATACAAACAATATGTGGTGGTGTGGCACAAACTGTAAAATATGCAGTTTCCCTTCAATAATAGACAATAGACAATTCCCTTCAATAATAAACATTCACTATAATTCAGTGCTTGAGAACAGAGAGGAAATTTTAGTCATAAAATAATTAAAATAGTAATTAAGGGGAGAGGTGGAAAATAATTAATTGGATATTTTAGATTAAGAATTACAATAATTTAAATACTATTGAATTGGGGTGGGCTAATGACTGAAATATGTATTTTTATCAATTAACAAATTAAAATATTAATACCCCATTGTTCAAATAGTGACTGAATGTTACTTAATGAGACGTTGCATTCAGTGCATACATATTGACATGTGCACACACCCAGCTGTTTCAATTCTAGTTTTGCATAGGCCTGTGATTTGTTCACCTAGGAGCCAAATGTCTCTGAAAGGTGTCAGCATTTCATTGTACTACAAGGAAGAACTGCTCCCTCTTAGGAAACTGTTGTATGTCACTTTTAACCTGGCCACATATCCATAATGCTAAGGAAATCTTAATTATATTACTTATCCAGCTCCTTCTCACTTCTCTCAGAACCATTATCTTAATGATTTTGCAATTTGTGAAAGAAAGACAATTATCAAGATTACTTTTGCCTAGCAACCAAGAACACTTATTTTTAACCAAAAAAGAAGATGGACAGTGATGATTGGATCTAGTCATATTAACACTTTTTTGTTGTAAAGTCCTGTAAATTCCTATTGAAGTCAGGGACAGTTCCTGATATATTTATGGGGAAAGGCCCAAATTTGGGTGACAAACTAAGGCTATGGCTATACTACAAAGTTGTGCTGACGCAAGTTACAGCAGCATATAGCTACCACATTTAGCATATCACTTGTGCACTTGCATACTTGATTCCTTGCATCAGTGCTGCATGTACTCGTTAAGAGGGCTTGTGTTGTTGCACAGTGTGGTGCACCATAGGTAGGAATTTCAATTTGCAACCTGCCACCAATAAGGACGCTGACTTTTGGAAAGTTGTGGCAATGAGTGGTGAGGCAGAAACGAGACCCCCGGAGGTAACTGGGAAAAAGGGGTCAACTTCCCATAATGTAATGCTCTTCATCTCATTATGTCATCTCTACCCCATAATTTTTGTGCCTATTTTCAATTTCCCATGAGCCCACATGGGACCTGTAGCTGGCCACCATACAGTCTGCACGTCTCTGCGCTATTGTCATAAGCATTGCAAGCACAGGATGCATGATCCTCTGGTATCTGCAGAGCCACAAGAAGAACTGTGGGGAACATGATGATTTCCTGGTGGTCAGTTTGCTGTGGGTCATTGCGAGAACCAATTCAAGGTTATTGGTGGCATTCATTGAGGAGCTGCTTCTGGGCTCAAGAAACGAGAATTGACTGGCGGGTCCGCAATGTAATGCAGGCTTGGGATGATGAGCAACAGCTTCAGAACTTTCGGACGCACAAGGGCGCATTCCTGGATCAGTGTGCCGAGCTTCCCCTAGCCTTCCAACACAGGGACACCAAACTGAGAGTTGCACTGACAGTGGAGAAGCAAGTGGCTCTCATGCTGTGGAAACTTACACGCCATGTTGCTACCAGTTAGTGAGACATCATTTTGGAGTGGGAAGATCCACGGTGGAGGCCATTTTCATGCAAGTGCCTGGGTGCATTAACTATCTACAACCACACAGGACTGCAGCTCTCGGCAACATGCAGGACACAGTGGATAGCTTTGCAGCTATGGGGTTCCCAAACTGTGGTGGAGCAATAGAGGCACGCATATCCCTATTTTGGCCCCAGAGTACATCAGCAGAATGGGCTACGTGGTCGTGCCCGCACTTCACCAACATCAGTGTGCACTGCTCATGGAAGGTATATGACATGTGCATCTTTAAGAACACAGGACTGTTCAGAAAGCTACAAGGAGGGACATTCTTCCCTGAGCAGTGGATTACCGTTGGCAA